AACCTGAGTGGCGGGAACCCTCTGCGGGTGCACCGTCCGCCAACCACGATCTGCTGTGAGAGGTTTGAGTGTGAGCATGCCCGTTGGGACCCGAAAGATGGTGAACTATGCCCGAGCAGGGTGAGGCCAGAGGAATCTCTGGTGGAGGCTCGCAGCGATACTGACGTGCAAATTGTTCGTCGGACTTGGGTATAGGGGCGAAAGACTAATCGAACCGTCTAGTAGCTGGTTCCCTCCGAAGTTTCCCTCAGGATAGCTGGAGTTGTTGAACAGTTTTATCGGGTAAAGCGAATGATTAGAGGCCTAGGGGGTGAAACACCCTCGACCTATTCTCAAACTTTAAATAGGTAAGATTTCGGGGTTGCTTAAGCGAACCCCGAGGATCAATGAAAGCTYCAAGTGGGCCATTTTTGGTAAGCAGAACTGGCGATGCGGGATGAACCGAAAGTCGAGCTACGGTGCCAAACTGCGYGCTAACCCAGACACCACAAAGGGTCATGATTGATACAGACAGCAGGACGGTGGTCATGGAAGTCGAAATCCGCTAAGGAGTGTGTAACAACTCACCTGCCGAATCAATGAGCTCCGAAAATGGATGGCGCTGAAGCACGCGACCTATGCTCGGCCGTCGCGGCGATTCTGACGCCGCGACGAGTAGGAGGGCGCGGGGCCTGCTGCGAAGCCTGGAGCGTGAGCCTAGGTGAAGCGGGTCCCGGTGCAGATCTTGGTGGTAGTAGCAAATATTCAAATGAGAACTTTGAAGACCGAAGTGGAGAAGGGTTCTATGTGAACAGCGCTTGGATATGGGTCAGTCAGCCCTAAGAGATGTGGAAACCTTGTATCAAGGGCGCACTGCGCCCCGCACATCGAAAGGGGGTCGGGTTAATATTCCCGAACCGGGTTGTGGAGGTGGACGGTAACGTAAGCAGCTCTAGAGATGTCGGCGGAGGCCGTGGGGACGGTTCTCTTTCCTTCTTGACGGCTCGCCCACCCTGGTGTCAGATCAACCGGAGATAGGGTGCAGCGCCCGGCAAAGCACCGCACGTCCTGTGGTGTCCACCGCACCCCCGACGGCCCTTGAAAATATGGAGCTGCAGGTACCTCTCACGCCCGGCCGTACTCATAACCGCATCAGGTCTCCTAGGTGAGCAGCCTCTGGTCAAAGGAAGAATGTAGGTAAGGGAAGTCGGCAATATGGATCCGTAACCTTGGGAAAAGGATTGGCTCTCAGGGTTGGGCCTAGGGGTCTGCGCCTCGATGTCGTTGGCTGCCGGTGGTCTGCCCGAGCTGCTCTCGCGGCGAGGGCGGAGCCCGCGTGCCAGTGTGCCGACGGGCGTAGAATGTCTTATGTCCCCACCTTTCGGGTGGGGTCGTGGGACTCTCCCTAAGCATCAAACTGGCGACCTAGAATTGGTGCGAACAAGGGGAATCCAACTGTTTAATTAAAACAAAGCATTGCGATGGTCCCAACGGATGTCGACGCAATGTGATATCTGCGCAGTCCTCTAAATGTCAAAGTGAAGAGATTCAACCAAGCGCGTGTAAACGGCGGGAGTAACTATGACTCTCTTAAGGTAGCCAAATGCCTCGTCATCTAATTAATGACGCGCATGAATGGATTAACGAGATTCCCACTGTCCCTATCTACCATCCTGCGAAACCACAGCCAAGGGAACGGGCTTGGAAGAATCAGCGGGGAAAGAAGACCCTGTTGAGCTTGACTCTAGTTCGACTCTGTGAAATGACTTGAGARGTGTAGAATAAGTGGGAGCCTTACGGCGCAAGTGAAATACCACTACTTTTAACGTTATTTTATTTATTTCGTGAGGTGGAGCTGGGGCTCTGCCCCTGCTTCTCGATCGAAGGTGCAGGCCCTCGTGGCCTGACCGATCCAAGTGAAAGACATTGTCAGGTGGGGAGTTTGGCTGGSGCGGCACATCTGTTAGAAGATAACGCAGGTGTCCTAAGATGAGCTCAACGAGAACAGAAATCTCGTGTGGAGCAAAAGGGCAAAAGCTCATTTGATTTTGATTTCCTGTACGAATACAAAATGTGAGAGGGAGAGCGTGAGAGCGGTGAGAGCGTGAGAGCGGAGGCGAGCGGAGAGCGCAAGTGATGTAGAAGGGTATAGGGTAGCGAGGCACGGACCAGCTCACAATGTGGGAACAAGGCGCGGGCACATAGTGTGTCGATGACCGCGTGACTGAGAGGTGTGGACGTGAGGGGGTATGGGCTCGGCGCGTGATGGAGAATCGGGAGGAAACGCTGAAGGGGAGGCATGGGGATTGAGAACGTGGAGTGGTATGGACTCGGTGCGTGCGGAACGACCGGGAGGGAACGACGAAACGGAAAGATAGACAGATCACGAGGCGTCGGAAGCGAAGGGTGGGTGAAGTTGACGTCGTAGTGGAAGAAGACCCGGCGCCCCTAGGTATTGAAACCCTCGGGAGGAGGAGCAGGACATCGCAAGTCGAGTAATCTGGAGAGCACATGGGCGACGAGGAGCGAGTTTGGGGGGTTTTCTTGCTGATCCTGGGATGGCTGCTGGCGAGACAAGTGGATGGGGCTTATACACTGATCACTTCGTTGTGGGCGGCCATAGTGCATACTTCGAGACTTGTGATCGTGGATACAGGTAAATGCGCCATACTCATTTTTGCGGAGATTCTCATGAATGATGGTCTGGGGGATGTCAAGGAGGTGGGGACCGCACCCCTCCTCCCGGGGCATCAGGCCCCACAGTCCGGCGCAGACGACATACAGCTTTCCCATCGAATTCAACTCATGCAGCAAACCCGGGTGGTCCAGCAGGAACGGCAGATGCAAGATCGGGGCGAGACACCAATTGCGGCGATGCCTGAAGACGGCAGACAATTGCAAGGACAGGACGAACGGCCCCGAGATCACGAGCAGCGAGGCCAGGACGAGGGCCTGACCGTCCAGCTGGGGCAGCAGGAGACGCCAACCAAAGACATACCGATGGAGGAGCACCCGCCAGCTGGCGGACGGAGGGTTGGGGGACAAGCAGTCACACATCGAACCCCGCAGGAGCGGAAGGAGGGGGAGAGTGGAGCAGTGAGAGGGCAGGTGGCAAAGGGCCAACCAGGGACCGACGCCCATCATCACAACTCTGGAGCCGAAACGAGGCCTGCTGAAGAGGCAGGACGAAGCGCCTTGGAAGTCGATACAGAAGGAGGGCAGACAAGGGCGGGGCAACAGGGGGGAGGTGAGAACAACCAAGGAAGTGCCCCGCAAGGCCAGCGCCAACGACCGCCACCCTTGGCACGCGAGCGAAAGGGTTGCCAGAATGGCAGACAGGACGAGGGAACACTAGAAAGGAAGGGGAAGACGGCGACGTCATTCCAAAGAGAAAAGAAAGGTGGCTGGCTATTGGAATGTTCGGAGTCCCTGCTCGAAAGTGGGGAATGCGACCCCGCGGCGGAAGCAAGAGGAGGGGGAGACATGCAGAATCACAGCCGGCAAGTCGGACGTCCGGACAGAGTGGAAGCACAGGCTGATAGCCGCCGGGACGACACGGTCAAGGGGAAACGCCAAGGGAGCCCGGCCAGCCCGCCGCGCGGGCCGAACAGAGGTGGTTGGCTACTGGAATGCTCAGGGTCGATGTTGGAGGGGACGCCGGGAGTAGAAATGGAACCGACACGAGCGAAGGACGGGGAATCACCTAAGACTGCGCAGGGAAGTGTCCCGGATACTGTGCGGATCCCTTTGGAAGAACGGAGACAACAGGGCTCAAGCGGCGCCCGGCCCCCCCGGGATTCCAAAACGCCAGTGAGTGGTGAAGACCAGAGGCCTGTCGTGGAGAAAGAACCACCCTCCGATCGACCGCCGCATGACTTGCTGCTTCAAGGTTTGAACGAGCTTCGATTGGAACAGCCCCAGCCCCTCCAGCCGCGATGACAGCCCGTAAGCCACGTCCTGAACCAGAGTCAACTGAAGGAGGCTGCTAGGAAAGAGCTTGAATCGCTCTGGGACGACTCCATGGATGAACCCCAACAGGGTGGGGTGGGCAAGAAGAGGGGAAGGGCGAGACGAAAGACGAGGAGGATGGCGGCATCGGACCAAGACATGAGCTCGTGGAACGCGGAGATGGCTAAGCGGCAGAGGCCTCTGCTGGACACCCCGAACGTGAAACCCCCCCCTCCCCCCCCGGGCCCCCCCTGCCGCCTCCTAGCCCGGCCCCTTTGGGTAGCCTGCACAACGGAGATGCCTCAGCCCGGCCTGGCCCGGCTCGGTTGGAGGGTGGAGAGAAGTTGAGTGAAGAAATGAGCCCACCGCAGCCAGACACGGGCTGGACTAATCCTTTGGTTCTGGGTAGCTCGGCATCTCTGTCCCTCTCCCCCCCTCCCCAGCCGGACCCGGTGCGGCGACGACTAGAGGAGATAGAGCAGATCCAGGTGGACGAGATGGAGCTCATGGAATATCGAAGGGTCGAGGAGGAGGAGGAGGATCCCGGACCGATCCAGCAACAGGAGGAAAACCAGGTCTTCAACGACACCCACGTCAGAAGGATGCTGCTATTGGACGGAAAGTTTGACGAGCTTCGATCGCAAGGCCGACTGAGAATCGTTCCTGTGATACTTCGCCTATGGGAGGCTAAGTTGCAGATCTTGCTGTGTCAGCCAAAAGATCACGGGCACCTTCCCACTATCCCATTTCTCAAGTTCGCAAGTCACCCGTCCATACAGCAGGCGATTGTAACGGCGGAAAAGTGGCTCGGCACCGACTGTGATGTATTGCCGATGAAGGGTGTGTCGGCGATCCGATTGCTGCTGAAGTCAGATTCAGAGGACAGCTTGGGGGCATATTGCTTTCTGCTCCGAGCGGAGTCCCGGAAACATGTGGCGCGAGTGGCAGACCCCCTGTTCCTCTGGAATGATCTCGAGCCGCTAACACTAGCATTGCCAAATCCGGATGGCTTGCCGGATCCGAAAGAAACGACAACTACGTACAACGAAACAGTCAAAATCCTTGCTCTGCTTAGTAAGCGGCTTCCAAAGAATAAGAGGTTCACCCATCCCTCTTTCATCACAGATCCGGAGACATGGCTCAGAGGACCGCGCTAGACAGGTAGGCAATCGTCGAGGATAACGAGGCCTCTCCTGCGCGGAGCGGCCTCGGCCTCGAGAATACGGCGTAAATCCGCCAAGGCATGAATTCTGTGGCCACAAGGGAGGAGGGAAGAACCTGCTCATTGGGACTCCCGACCGCTGGATAAACTGATAAGTGCTCGATAGAAGGAGAGATATCTCTGCGTTGTGTAATGGGATGTGCGAAAGGCTCGAGGAAACAGTAGAATAGCGGGATAGTTGAAGGAGATGTGTCGGGTGAGGTGGGAAGGGGATGGGATGCAAGGGATTCGCTTCACTGTAAAATACCGCGCACTGAATACTTTGTTTGAGCATGGTAGACTGAGAGATCTTTAGTTGTGGGACTTTGAACCTGGTGAGAACTGGTAGGGGAAGGACAGAGGCAACTGGGGTGATTGGCCTGTGTTGTGAAGTAGGGGCCGGTGGAAGAAGCAGAAGCCTCCGCGAGAACATTAATGAATACTTTGAGTGCTCTTTACGGCAAGGATCTGAGCAGCCCATAACCATGGATTATCCTGTTTAGGCCTGCGTTCCTGCATGCACTTGATCCTTGCACCGAAGGCGTGAGATAATTGTAAATAAGTTAGGATAAAGGTAGGGGATAGAAGGAAATGCGAATAATGGATTGGATTTTGTTGTGATGGAGGGGATAGGGAGGATAGGACTCCACCTCATTGTGAATACCGTGTAGGATAATACTGAAAGGCTAGTTCGAAAAGCACGGAGATGGACTGTGAAAGGTGACTAGAAGGCTAGTGTATAACTTGTTGTGTGTCTTGAGGTAAGGATGTGTTGTATAACCCCTGGACAATGTACTGAGGCATAAGCAATCGGGGTGGTGACACTGTGGGATATGTGTGGGGATGTGTCTGCGTGTTTTTGTGTGCGAACTTTGACGCCTGACATGTGAACACTTGAGCAAAGATGAACGAGTGTATAAGCTAACTGGTAGGTGAATGAACGAGGATGACTCGATGGGGTCAAACGGCTGCCATGTGAACCCTTGTGGTGGTGACAATTTGAGTACCATGGTTAGAGCTGGTGTGAAATTTGTGATGAGATAACGGGGAGGGTATTGAACAACTCGGCCAACCACAGCATGGCACAATTGTTAAAGATTGCATCGTTAAATGTAAGAGTGTTGGGGGTGGCCTCATTTAGAACTAAGTGGAAAGAGATTAAGGGTTTGGTAGATCGCGATCGGGGTCAGCTCCTCTGTTTGCAGGAAACCAAACTGTCTAACCGCAGATTAACTGAAGGGGAGTTGCCGCCAATCAAGGCGAGCCTCCAAGCTGGCTTCCAGCTTTGGGCACCGGCCATAGGCATGGTGGGGGTGATGGCCATTCTTTGTACCAAGTACTTTAAGGGGGAGATCCGGGATTTTTTCGTGGACACACAGGGCCGTTGGGCCTGGGTGTACATAGACCTGGCTGGGGAACGGATCCTTATTGCAACAGTATATGCCTCCCGCTAGCTTAGAGATAGATGCCAATTATGGCACACCTTCGCGGCCAATATCCCTGACGTGGATAGATTAATTCTGATTGGCGACTTTAACACTGTTGTGGATCCGCCCCCACGATCTGCCTCCCGTGCCCCTTACTCTCCTAATGCGCGTGCCATGATCAATGCGATGACAACTATGGGCCTGCAGGATGTTTTCAGGATGCTCTAGCCCCACGAGAAAGGGGTAACATGGATTGGATCTGCGCTCAAAAAACGTAGTAGGATTGACATGTCTTGGTTGTCCCAGGCAGCTGCACAGTGCCTATTAGATTTCGGCATCATCCCGGTCGTTCGATCGGATCACAAGATGATCACTCTCATGCTGGCCATCCCCTCTGCACTGCACACCAGACCCCCCCCCTCTACTGTCCCGGGCTGGCTCTTCTCAGAGGAGCGATTCCGCAACATGGCAAATCAGCATTGGCTCTACTGGGCACAGCTTCGGCATCCAGATCAGTCAGCCCTCCAATGGCTAACAGACGGCACGGCGGCCCTGGCAGGACTACTTAAGCAGGTGGTGCTTGCATCCAAGCGGGCAAAGCGATTGACGTCGGAACCCTTCATTAGAAGAGCGTTGGAACTTGGTGACGGGCCACCAACAGAAGAAGGGGAGGAGGAATGGTGGATGCAGTGGGCTGCGCTGCAGGTGGAATGGGAGGAATGGCAGATTAAAGACGCGGAATCATGGGGGCTGCGCAATAAAGCGCAATGGACAATCGCGGCGGGTCACATGACCAAGACATTCTTCCGGCGAATGCACTCGAAAAGGTCGGCCTCCATTATGATGACATTGCAGGCACCATTCTAGGAGGATGGCCCGCTTGCGGACAACACTCAGAACATCTTGCGATTTGCCCACGAATACTACTCCTACCTGTTGACGGAAGAACAACCATGGACACCAGAGGAAATCGCCACGGCCCCGGCCTTGGCGATTTGGCAGAAAACGATTACAACGTTGACTGACGCGGACCGATGTGACATCGACGAACCAATCACCGAGCAGGAGATAGGTGAAGCACTGACTCAAATGCCTGCAGGAAAAGCCCCAGGACCAGACGAAATGCCGGTGGAGCACATCAAGGTCTGTCTAGATGTACTCCTGCCGCATCTCCTGGAAGGTTTCAATGACGTAAGGCAGGGAGCCAAACCCCTTCCGGAGGAGTTTGGCCTGGCCACGATTATTCTGGTGCATAAAAAGGGCCCTCCCAAGGAGATCCGGAATTGGTGGCCTATCTCCCTGCTATCTGCTGCGTACAAGCTGATGGCGAAGATCCTGGCAAACCGCCTAGCCTGCAAAATCCCCCAGATTGTCGACCCTACACAAACTGGTTTCATTCCGGGGCGGTGGATCCTGACCAACATCTTGTTGGCACGACAGATAGTATGGCAAGCCCCGCGACACGACCCGCCTTTGGCATTCGTCCTCTTGGATTTCGAGAAGGCTTATGACAGAGTCTCTTGGCCATTCTTACTAGAAGGCCTGAGACGACAGGGATTTGGTTCGACATTCCTTTCCATGGTGAAGTGTCTCCTGGGCTCGGCGGCGTCTCGGCTCCTCATCAATGGCTATTTGTCCGACCCGATTGCTGTCACGCGCTCGGTGTGCCAAGGCTGCCTATTGTCCCCGGCACTGTATGCGCTCTATATTGAACACTTGCATGATATGATTAGAGCGGATGATGAACTGGAGGGGCTGAAACTCCCGGGAGGCAGACAACTCAAGTCCTCGGCATTTGCCGACGACACCGGCGCAGTCACTGCCATCACATCCGCCAGTGTCGGCGCACTGCAAAACCAGGTGGGTATTTTTTAAAAATTCGCAGGAGCACGCATGAACTGGCACAAATCGGTGGCGTTGGTCCCGGACCTTGCTGCTGCCCCTTTGTTCAAGGGCATGCGTGTCCAGCCCATGAGAGAAATGACAACCTACCTAGGTATCGAGCTCTCCCAGGCCCTCACCGACAACTCCCAGATGAAACAGTTGATGAGGAAGGCGGCCACACGACTTGCTCTTTGCGGAAAAACGGTGGATGCTAGGATATTTGGTAGAGCACTTCTGGCGAACACGGCGGCCTCGACGATGCTTTGGTGCGCAGCCCCGGTCTCAACTCCGGACCCGGTCCCTCAGCAAGAATACCGGACTGCGCTTTCCAAGTTTATCTGGAAGAATGATCCGTTTGCCCTGCATGCAATCCACCGGGTCTCTTGGCGTAGGCTTATTCAGCCGAGAGTAGGCACAGGACTGGGCCTGATTGACCCGGCCACTCAGGTACAGGCGCTCCAGCTGCGAACGATCATCTGGCTCCTCTTAGAGCAGGACTGCGCTCCCTGGAAGACCCTTACGCTGCAGACCATGGCGGAGGCAGTGCGATTGCATCCTGCAGACATGGAGTTAGCTTTACTCCAATCGGCCATTCTCACGGAACTCAAAAGAGGTGCTCTCTGGTCCCGGTTCCTGAAGGCGTGGCCGGACCTGGCACCATTTCAGCTTAAACCGTCGGAGTCGATAGACCAGATTCTTCAGCAGCCCTTGTTCGGCAACAGGTGGATCCCGGACAATAACGGGGAGCCTTCCCCATGGACGGGCCCCAAGGGCGCCTTCGGTAAAGCCTGGCTCAAAGCTGGGCTGGCAAGAGTAGCAGACCTCTGGGACTTACAGACCAAGGACTGGCAGCAGGAGACAACGCTCCTCAAGCACCTCGAGGGCCAAAAGCACTGGAAGGAACGGCTCTGCAGCATCAAGAAGGCGATTCTGGAGGCATGGGTGGACACTCTTCGAACGATGCAGAGATTTGACAGGGATTGGGTGACACTTAGTTCGGAAGGTCCGGTCCGCCTGCTATTTCAGATCACGGCGCAAGTTGGCAGTACCTGGCTGATGGTTGAAGCCTAGGAGAATCCTCCCTCTGACTCCGCCCTTGGGCAACCTTTGGTCTGTGCCCCGACCAGGGATGGATGGATCCCTTGCGATCTTGTCAGAGAAGTCTCCGTGGTCACGGATAGAAAAGGCCTCGCCCGGACCACCCACCATGTCTTCCGCCCAGAGAAGCGTCCCGCCCAGCTGGCAGTCGACCCAGCTATGTGGACCTGGCGGAAGCAAGGCCTCCAGCGTCGCGATCTCCCGCTGCATCAAGTGTCCACCAAAGTGATTTATAGAACACTTTCTGCTCCTTACCGAATGGACAAGGAACTTCAATACCGCTGGGCCAGGCGGGGCTGGCTTAAGCAGACCTTAGCCGTACAGTGGACCGCTGCTGTATGGAAGTCTATGGCCAGCCGCCTCCAAACGCTCCCCAATCTCAACACAAGTGGTTAACGACCTACTGAAATTTCAGAATGAAAGATTCTGAAGTCTGTTAGCGAGGTATGAAATCGCTGAAATTGCATGAAGGCACTTCAGGTCATTTCAAGAGATTCAGGTGGTTTGAAATTCAGATTTTATGTTTTTTTTTCGCTTTTTTTTCGCCTGTTTTTGTTTTGGTTCAACCGTCAACGTTGTTGTGTAACACTTCAGGTCATTTCAGGAGTTTCGGGAGGGAAACCTGAAACCTCTGAAATCATCTGAAGTGGCTGAAGCTTCTGAAAGCGGTTTCACATCCTCCCATCCAAATTTTTGGATTGGGGCATCTGAAACCGTTTTCATATTTTCGGCCACTTCAAGTTATTTTAGGAGTTTCGGGTGGGGAGACCTGAAACCTCTGAAATGACCTGAAGTGGTTGAAGCTTCTAAAAGTGGTTTCCGGTCCCCCCATCCAAATGTTTGGGTAGGGGGACCTGAAACCGCTTTCAGAATCTTCAGCCACTTCATGTTATTTCAGGAGTTTCAGGCGGGGAGACGTAAAACCTCTGAAATGTCCTGAAGTGATTCTGAAACCGTTTTCAAATTTTCAGCCACTTCAAGTTATTTCAGGAGTCTCGGGTGGGGAGACCTGAAACCTCTGAAATAATATGAAGTGGTTGAAGCTTCTGAAAGCGGTTTCAGGTCCCCCCGTCCAAATGCTTGGATGAGGGGACCTGAAACTGCTTTTAGATTTTCAGCCACTTCATATCATTTTAGGAGTTTCAGATAGAGAGACCTGAAACCTCTGAAATGATATGAAGTGGTAGAAGCTTGTGAAAGTGGTTTCAGGTCCCTCCATCGAAATGGTTGGATGGGGCATCTGAAA